TCCGCGTGTATGTACGTGTGTATTATCCACGTGTATGTATGTATGCATGTATTTTTATGTGTATATGTCCGCGTGCTTGCATGCAGTGCGTTATCTGCGTGTATGCACGTATGCGTGTATTCTGCTATGTACCACAGGGTGCATATGCTTATGTGCACTTTACTTATTTTTTAATTTGTTCGTGTACACCGTATGCGTGTATTTTATTGCTATTAAAAATACGTGTGCGTGTGCTTGTATCAGTGTGCATTATATTTTATATTTTTTATTTTGTTCCGTGTATACCGTAATTCGATTTCTTAAACGATCATCCTATTGGTTAATATCGCACACAAATGTTGAAATCTTCCAGCAACCCCAGTTACCAAAAGGTACATAATTTTTTAATTTTTTACCAAAATTCTACGAACAACGCACTCCCCAATCATGGCATTTAAGATTTGCGGGGAAACTGTAAAATATTAATATGATATTGATGTACTTTGTATACTCTCAGGGGATATGTTTTATCAGGACCGGACCGATCTGATCAGCAACGTTGCGATTAGAGTGAATGTCATCAAATCAGACATGAACAGGATACAGACCGTGAGCCACGCAGACGTTCGCGCTCTCCACCAAACAGAGATGTGGTCAAAACTAAGTGACACTTAATAAAGAGTGTTAAGTCTGAAAGAAACAAACTCAGTCAGAAGTGCCGTTATGATCGGCGTCTGCTGTTATATTATCACGTTCCTCTGTAGAACGAGATTTTCTCTAACAACGGATAATTGTGAAAATATCTATCTATGGTTTTCGTCTCCTGGTTACTAAATTATGATGACGCCCTATGAGTCATCATTCTCTCAATTAAACTCTCTGTCCCAATATCTGGTCCGGTCCCTCAGTCCGGTCCTGAAATAATCTCCTTAAGTCAAAAATCCCACTTGTAGGTCGGGCCCTGTGGTCCCGCCCTAAATGTTTGTCCAGGGTACTTTGTCCACAGAGATGCGTCTCAGACATCTTCATCTCATTCGGTAGCCCAATCGGCGACTTCGTCCTCTCAGTCCTCGTCCACCACTGTGAAACAATCCGAGGCCAAAAAGGAAGAATACACCACTTTTCACAAGTGTGGCAAGCAAGGCCAACACACGCGTGACTGCAAGGCGACACCCAAGACAGTCACAGATGCAGCAGCTACTTCTTCTAAGAAAGTAGAATCTAGGTTCTGGAATGGGCCGATGGTTCAAGGCGACATTCAGGATCGTGAGATTTTAGCATAATTTATTAATCAAAACACGGTCAATAAATTAAAAATATCTTCTACACCAAACGTTGGACCATCGATACCTGGCATCACAGTAATGTGTACTATTAAGCCTACCTCACAAGTCCGATTTGCAGCATACATCAATACATATGACGGGGGTTTTTTATAGGTGAACAAAAATGGATTGTTGTAGATGAGCTACCATATCAGACGCATATTGTAATCGGCTAATATACACAACGCTCCTTGCAATGGGCAGGGGCGTTTGATATGGATGGTGTAACAATGGCCAGTTATTTGTAGTTCCTGGCATGGACCACTGGTGCCGATGTGCTTACGATGTTCACTGCGGACATTCTGACCACCGTACAAGATTCTACCGCAAAGAAACGTCGCACAGTGCCGTGGCGGCACGAAGCAGCGTGTCAGGAAAGCACGGCGTATGTAGGAGGATGCACTAGAGCGACGACCGCACCTTTGTCCGCAGCTTAAGTGGTATGGTGTTGTCACTACATGACCGAAGGACCACAGCCGCAAGATGCAGATACTACGTTGATACCCGTCTCTAGTGTTGCAGTGTGCAGTACACAGAACCAGCCGCACCAGTTGCTTCGCAAGGCCCGACATCATACCGATGACGTTCGTGGCTACGATCAATGCAGAATTGGCGAAAATGACCGTTGGTTTGCCGAACCTCTTGCCCGTGAACAGCTCGTTCTATATTTTGACGCATGTGAGTATATCGGCGTCGGAGGCTGTCTCTATATACACAGAGCAGGCCAGCTGGAGCATGTAGCTTACTTCTCATCCAGGTTTTCTTCTGCCCAGGCCAATTATCATGTAACTGATAAAGAATGGCTCGCGGTCGTCATTGGTATCAAGCAATACTGGCACATCGTCAGGCGGTCCCTGTTACCATTGGAAGTGCACACACATCACCAAGCATTGCTTGCCTTGTAAGTCCAGGATAGATTTACGGACGACCGCAGAGGTCGTCGGCAACAACGGTGGCAGTAAGTCTGCCGTGATTTGAATATTGTAAAATTATATGCCAGAAGAAAAGATAACGGCACAGCGGATATGTCCATCCCTCGCCTCGCCAATGTGTTGATTAAAGAGATGGAACTGGCCCGCACGCCGGAGAAACACACGCATAAGCGCGTGCACTAGGTTATTCCCTTAAAGCAATCTATGGGCACCATGGAATACATACTCGCCCGTGAGTGGTTCAGCTATGTCGATCAGCTTTATAGGCCGCACGACGCCTATGGCTTTGTGTGTCTAGGGAATCAACAGATTATTCCGTTCTACTTGCGCACACCGGATGGGGGTGAGTTTGCCATCTCTTGGCATCTCCTTAACTTGTGGTGCAACCTCGCGTGGTATGACATCGAGCGTGTCTTCATAAAGGTAATGGCGGACAGGGATCGTGTGATCACGGTATGTTGTCCTTACATGCAGCATGCGGATTGGTAAGCTGGACTACATATTGGCCTTACCAATCACAATCGTAATCCCGCCGTCGAAGGGAGTATTCCTTCGGCATGGATATGAGCCGATGGGTCCACCAATGTGGGACGCCACGCCTATACCCTGCATTGGCTCCACGTCGACACCATTTGTGTGTTCGTTAGGATTTTGATATTCGGTCGTAAAAATATCGCGTACCAAGCGACCTGTCGCCGGACCCAGGACGAGCAGACCTACTCCGACGATGCGACGCCCAAGTCTGCGTTGCCTCGCAGCCCCCCCCCCCCCCCCACCGCCTGCTGAGTCACCAGATGCTGCTGCCTCGGTATCGACGGTGCTGATTGAGAAGGAAGGGGCCGCAGAGGTTTTTGGGGATCTGCTGATCTTCAAGTTGAGATCAGGGACGTTTCCCCTTCCTCGGTGCTCGGGTTACAATCGGGCACTGTAGCCGTTGACCTCTCCCCTCTACGACAACCTCCCCGCCCCTCTGCAGTCCCAAGCGGACTGCCAGTACGACAAAGTGGCGGCGATTGTGGGTGACGCTCCGTACACCTAGCAGGGTCAGCAACTGCAGTGGCTTCACGTCCATTCTATTATTGCGGCTGTGCGCGAGGTGTACATGCACGCGGGCGCATCCAAGGTCGAGCGAGTGATTATTGCCACCGTTGACCGCCACCAAGGTAATGGTCGCGCCGAAGTGATGGTCAAGATCCTAAAAGCTTGGATCTACAAGTCCAAGATGCCCAACACTCATGGGTCTTAAGCACGACTGGTGCATGCGTTCATACAATCGTACAACGCCCTTGTGTCATCCGTGACGAAGGAAGCTCCGTCTACGAAGGCCACGGAG